CCCCCACGGTGGGGTGGGGGGGCTCTGCAGGGGGGCGGCTCTGGGGCGGACGGAGGAGGCTCCTGAGCCGGGCCGGGACCAACCTCCGCCTGCGCCCCAGCCTGCCCGCCAGGCACCTTTGGGGAGCGCTGTGGGCAGAAGTGCCGTTGTCCCAGCGAGAACCAGACCTGCCACCCCGCCCTGGGGACCTGCACGTGTGCCGCTGGCTACCACGGCTCCGGCTGCCGGCAGCGTGAGTGCGCCGGGCCGCCCGTTGGGCCGTCCTTGGGAGGGCTGCGCACTGCCGCGGGACCGACCCAGCTCCTGGCCCCTGGCAACGGCCCCTGTCCTCGCAGGGTGCCCCCCTGGGCGGTTTGGACCCGGCTGTGAGCAGCCGTGCGGGTGTCTCCACGGGGGCTCCTGTGATGCGGCCACCGGGGCCTGCCTCTGCCCTGCTGGGTTCCTTGGGGCCGACTGCAGCCTGGGTGAGTGGTTGGGGCGAGGGCTGGGTGGCTGGCTGAGGGAGGGGGTGGCTGCCCTCTGTGCCTCGGTGGGCAGGGCCCCTGGCCATCTGCTCCCCCCTCCCCGCCCCTGATTCTCCTGCTGGCCCCAGGCTGGGCTAAGGTGGGGGGTGTCAGTGTGACCCCAGTGTCCCTGCCGGTCAACTCTGCCCCCTTCACCTGTCCCCACTCTCCCCCCCCCTCCCCACCCCAGGCCCCCCAGCCACGCCCAGCAGGGGCTTGTGGACCTCTGTGCAGAGGCCAGCCAGGCATCCAGCTGAGAAAAGTGCCTTTCTCTGAGTCATGTGGGACTTCCCGCCCATCCTGGAGCCTGGCTGGGCTGGTGGGGGTGGGGTGGGGGCATCAGTGAGTCACTGTCGCCGCAGAGCAGGCCTGGCCCCCAGCAGACCCGTGGGTAGAGGGGAGATGCCAGGGCGGGCGGGGGCACGGGAGGAGGTCGCCTCCGCCCCGTCCGGGCCAGACACAGGGCTCCCCCTGCCCCTTCCCGTCCCTGGGCCGACGTGGCAGAGAGAAGGGCAGCCGGCAGCGGCGGCCACCCTCCTGTCTCCTCCCGGCAGCCTGTCCACAGGGCCGCTTCGGTCCTGGCTGTGCGCATGTGTGCAGGTGTGGGCAGGGAGCAGCCTGCGACCCCGTGAATGGCAGCTGCACCTGTCCCCCGGGGAGGACCGGCCTCCACTGTGAGCACGGTAAGCACGGACTCCACCCGCCACTGTCCGTGTCAGCCCTAGGGAGCGGGGCCGATGGGCTGGAGCCATGGGTTCCCCAGGGGAGACCTGGGCCCCCAAAACCGGGTGGTACGTTCATGCTGATGGTCTCCGGCGATCCCAAGGGGCTCGTGGGGGCCGAACAAGTTCCAACCCGGACCCTCCCAGCAGACGGTGGGCGGGCGGGGGGTGGGGTCAAGCAGCTATTTCGTCTGAGGACAGAGCCAGCTTCCTGGCTCATGGCCCCTTGGCATAGCGTCCCGCTGGCTCTTTCTGCTGGCCCAAGAGGCCAGGGACCCCAGGTAGAGGGACGTCTGGAGCACGAGGCATGGGGGCGAACAGGGGTGGCTTGTGCCCATGATGGCACCCGGACCCCACGGCCACAGCTACGGCCCCTTGGCCTGGCCCCCCCACCCTGGTAGATCTGAGCTTTCTGCTTTTCTTTAGTCCTCCTCAAGGAGTCAGTGACAAACCCCCGTTCTTAACCAGCGGCAGTAAGGAGTCATAAGCCTTATGGCCCGGCTGTAGCGAGGCTGTGTCTTCGCCTCCAGGGGAGTACGGCAGCCACGGTCAGTCGTATTACAGTCAGAGGCCACCGGAGGGCATGGCAGCCCGGCCTCCTTCTCAGCCCAGAGGGTGTGCCTGTGCGGAGGGCCGCCGCCTCCAGGAAGGCTTCCCTGACCACCTCCTGACAGCTGGGCGGGCACTCCCGTGCCCTGGAGGCCGCTGGCCCCTTTCATCCCGATCGTCCCTGGCGCCCAGCCAGCCCTGGCATGTGCTAACTGAGAGAACGGATGAATGAGCAGGACACGGCTCGTGTCACTCCCTGGCGCTCGTGTCCCTGGGGGTGGAGACCGGCACCAGCAGGCCCCAGAAAGCGTGTCCCCAGAGCGTGTCCGGCCCCGGCCAGAGCTGTGAGCAGCGCCTGACTTCTGCCTCCAGGCTGCCCTCGGAACCGGTTTGGCATAAGCTGCGAGCACACGTGCTCCTGCAGAAACGGGGGCCTGTGTCACGCCACCAACGGCAGTTGCTCCTGCGGCCTAGGCTGGACGGGGCCGCGGTGTGAGCTGGGTGAGCTCCCGGGCGGCCGGAGGGCCAGGGCCTCGATGGGGCGGGGGGTGGGGGGGTGGTGGCTCTGGGCCCCCTGGAGAGCGTGGGGCTCGGGGGCCGCCGCGGGTCTGGGCCAGGCTCCCGAGGCCGCTGGAATCAGGCTGGCGTGGGGGGGCCGCCCCTCACGTCCCCGCTCTCTCCACAGCCTGCCCTCCCGGTCGCTACGGTGCCGCCTGCCGCCTGGAGTGCTTGTGCCAGAACCACGGCACCTGTGAGCCCACCACGGGCGCCTGCCGCTGCGGCCCTGGCTTCTACGGCCAGGCCTGCCAGCACCGTGAGTCCTGGGGAGGGGACCCCTGCCCGGCATCCGCCCTTGCCACGTCAGGGCCCACCTGGGCTTCCGTGGCAATGGCCGCCGTCCCCGTCCCTCCCCGCGGGG